TTCTGCTACTCGGACGGTCACATTAGGAGTGAGGCATTTTAAAAATTACTCTTACATGGTCTGTTTTCTAGCTGTTTTCCCCCCACTCCCCTTTTTGTAGAATGAAAATAAAACAAAGCAGGAGTTACTGAGGTTTCTCAGCTTTTACAGCTTCTTAGAAGTCCATTAAAATAAAAATAAGTCTTTTAACTGCAGATTTGGAAACATTTTCAGTTATACAGAACCAACACAGGCTGGAATACTTTAAAGCTTCTTGTCTGTTAGAAGGAAGGAGGAAAAACATCCAGTAAATTATAAAAAAGCATAATTCTTAACTAAATTTCCTGTTTTGTGTCTCAGCGTTAACAGTGTGCCTGAATTTCCTCCTTTTTTTTTTTTTTTTTTTATTTTAACGTCACAGCCAATCCCTACCCACCCATTTAACAAAAACCTAATCTAAAACTACTGGAGATTTCAAGCATGTTTGAGTTTGAAATATCAGCTGAATTCATAACTCATTCCCAGGAAAAATCCAGCTCCTACGCCCCTTGAAACAAAGATTAAACATACTTCAGCTGAAGAACTGCTCCTCTCGCAGAACCGCCGCTTGCGCTCAGCACCACCAGCATCAAGAATTAACTGCGGATCACTCCATTCAGCCTTTTCAAACAAATTTGATGTCACGACCACTTTTAGTTGTTTTTTTAAGTTAGTTCAATGGCTTTTCGGGTATTTTGGAGGAGCAGCAGCAGGAAGGACGAAAGCAGTCAGCACAATTGCGCAACACAGCAAACATTTTAAAAAGTGTTTATCAAATTGATGGGTTCGCCGGAGAGAAAATTTACGTGTGAGAAACTTGAGACTGTTGTGAGCAACTTTCACTTTCAGAAACAGCATTTAAAATGAAAACGTGGTTGTGTTGCACAATGGCCTATTTGTTCTGGTATTTTAATAAAGGGCCTTTTCGCAGAACGAAGCAGAAGCGATCAGATGATAACAGGGGACTCTACACGTGATGGCAGTAAGATCTGTACGGCTGGAGCCAACGCCGAGGGATGGAGCCGTCTGAAGCAAACTGCCCATTGCTTCCACACGCACAAGGCTGCCAAAACCAGGTGCTTCCAGCTGGTACCCAAAAGCAAGGTCTGGCTTTTCCAGTTCTCTGTACTCTATAAGTCCCAGCAATTTATTTTAAAATACAAACTAAGTGGGTAAATCTAAGACAAACTAATTTTAAGAAGAAAAAACTTCTCTCTGGCTTTGCTGATTTGTCCTTATTGCGATGATGGTCAGACCACACAGCAGGAGGGAAACGGGATTTACATTTTCTTTTAGTTTTGTTCCCTTACCAATTTAATTTTTTCTGACATTCCGCACATCAAGCTAGGAAACCCATAAGAGAGAAAGATAATATATCACATTATCTGGCAACAGGAGAGAAGAAGTAACAGACACACACCGTCCAAAAAAGTTGGAGGTGCTCCAAGAGGGAAATTCTGAAACTTGCTACATGCACAGACTCCCACTGAAAGATGTCTGGTCAGTGTCTAAACCAATTAAATAATTTGAGTGATATTTGAGCAATTTATAGAGAGCTTTCCACCTCAAAGTTCAACTGTTAAATCTTTGCATCTCACAGTTCCTTTGACTTCTTGTAAAGGCAGGGAAACCAGCACTGGGTCTACCAGCCACCCCAGCAAGCCAGCGCCGCTGCCACACCGGGTGCCTCACTTCAACCCACACCCACCATGACGTTGGTAGAGATGCAGTATTTTATAAACTCCTTTTTCCTCTCACTTTACCCTCCCCATGCAAGAATCCCCAAACAATTACAGCCTTTTACCCTGCTTTTTATGCAGCCATCATTTTGGGGTCACCCACCCACGGCCTTCCTTGCAGCCCAGCAGGATTGCCACCCCTCTCGCCGGCTTCGTGGCTGCCCGCAGCGTTTGGAAGAGCAGCAAGCAAACTCTTCCGAGTTCAGAGCTGCGTTGGGGATCTACAAACCCAAAACAACCAAACCATCCCATCTTTCCAACCAGAGTTAATCTTCACAGCCAAAAGGGCAAGAAGGTGATTTTTTTTTAAGTGACGGTTGGAACTCTGCCTTTCACCACCTCCTCCTGAAGACGTCAAAGAAAACTTCCCCCAGCCGCTGGCAAGTGGACAAGCGGCTACTTCAAGCCCTACACAAAACAGACCATTCTAAGGGCAATTAGTTCAGCGCTGGCGCTCAGCCAGCCCCACGGCTCCGCACACTAACCGCTGCGACGACTTCTGGCAGGGAGAGCCACGATTCTCCGTCACTGACAGCGACAACTTCTACTGCCTTACTCACACCCAAGGCAGCAGGGAGCAGCAGTTACCAGCACTAACAATCGGTGTTTTCCGAAGGGCAGATTGTCTAGTTCCTCTGGAGCCACGTCCAGGGACAAGCAGCAGGACTGCAGATCCGGGAGCCAGGCACTCGCCTCGTTATGCTAACGAACTTCAGGGCACAACAACCTCCCAGCGAACGAGGTAGGGCAGAGCAGTTATCTCCATTTTGCAGATAAGGAAATAAGGCAGGAAGGCAGAAGTTGGGCCAGCCACAGGGGAAGTGTGATGAGCAGAGGACAAACCTAAGTCTCCCGAGTCACACACTCCTCTCCCGGCCACTGAATTATTCTTCTTGCCTGTTTGAACCAAGAGAAGTCAGTCTCCGGGTGTGCTGCCATTCCCCTACCTTCAAAGAGGGATAATGACTTCCTAAGATAACTCTCGATGTCAAAAAGCATTAATTAACCAAAGTAATACCAGTTAAATACTATACCCAGGGATAAGATGGATACAGAAGAAAAACTGGTAGGTATGTTGAAATGTGCCTCCTGTGAAAATCATTAAAATCCACAACAATACTCCAGCCACACAAAAGAGCTATTTCCATTTGTTTCACAGCTACAGATGGCAGAAGAAAACCTCTCAGACAATAAGCTCTATTTAAACATATTGATCCAGCTTTTTTGGTGCGTTTTCCCCTATACTGGCTATAACCAGAGTATGATAAGTGGTGCTACGTAGTCACAGAACTCCCGTGCATTTGCTTTATGATCATGCAGCTGAGTTGGAACCCAAACCAGCAGCGATCAGCTCATCTGCCTGCACACAACGGCATGTCCCACACAGCAGAAAAGACAGGCAAAACCTCCAAAGGATGAAGGTATGACTTCAGTACTACGTGCTTGAGAAGCAAGGAGTCTCTGAAAAGCAGTACGTTAAGAAAACCAAGTAATTACCTAAAAGGCCTCAAGTTTACTTACAGACTCAGACTGAATATCAAGTTACTGACTTCTGTGGTCTACCACAAACCAGCTTTTCTCCTGGTAGTAATCACCACAGTTGTACTTGTCTGGGTCAGTTCTACAAGAAGCCCACAGCTACAAACAAACATGAAGGTTGTCAGTTTTCCTCAAAAAAACCCAAACCCCATTAAAGATAATTCAACACCTTCAAAGCCACAATAACCTCCTGCCTCATTTACAACCAGTAACGGAGAACATATCTTCAAGCAGAACCTCTATCACAGTCCATCTGGGTTTTATTTAAAGCCACACCTGATGGCGATGGTCCAGTAAATCACATTCACCTGCTCCAGCACTGTTGAGGAAAATGAGCTGCAGAGATCAGGTACCCAGCTCCCGAACCAGGCACAGTGACACCTTCCAGTCCCTGCTCACCTACACCGCGTACACTTCCCTTCCGTAACACCCTAAAGGACACCCGCCTTTTCATTCCACACTTCCATTTGGAAATGAGATAGATTTCTTTGTCTGCGGCACCCACTTATCTCCTCTACTCTGCTCTACCTCAATAATACAGAAAATCCAGATACTGCAGCTACCCCTCCTTTATATAACCTGTGCACTACAATTCACTAATGCCTCCAAAGTACTGCCCCGAACAGGCAGGCTACCATTACTGTCCTTCACCAGCCATCAACTCCTCCAGCTATTTTCCCCTTCCCTCCGCAACTTCCCTACACCAACCCACCCTTAACTCACGCACTGAAAAAAACAAGTAGATTCTGTGATATTAGACCTTCTGACAAGCTTCCCAGCCTCCTTTTATACCCCAAAAGAGGGTCTAGACCTGTTCCTTGTTAAGTCACTCAACTTCCAAAGCAAGCTGGGGCTGAACCGTGTGTCTCATCGATTACAACTGCCCCCTCCCGCCTTGTGCACCCAAAATCTGGAGACGCCCCTCGCCACCCCAGTCCAGCCGCACGCCCCGCTGCCCCCCACCTCCACCCGACACCCTCCCGTGGCAGCTCGCCCAAAGACCTTGGGGTCCCCCACCACAACATAGCACAGCCCCTCTCTGCATCCACCCCCAAACAGACCCCCAAATCGCCTCCTCACCGGGGGCCTCATGCAGAAATTACACCCCTCCGTCCCACCAGCGCTCCGTGACCCTCATCAGTCACTCTCCCATCTGCTCATCCCTGCCCTTCCCCGCTCTACCATGAGCTCCAGCACCCCCAGGGCCCTTCTTGACCCCCACCCCAACCCACCCCCCCCGTCCCGCCCAGGGGTTCTCCTTCCCCCAGCCCTGTACCCCAGGACCCCAGCATCCTCCTGACCCCATCACACCCCACAGGACTCCCAACACCCCCAGAGCCTCCCAACCCCTCCAGCCCCAAACCCGCAAAGCCCCAGCACCCCCACAGACCCCTCCCCAGCCCCCCCCCCCCCCCACCTCCTTCACCTGCAGCCCCAGGACCCACCCCCCGCGCCCTCAGGGCCCTCACCCCGCCATCCCCACTAACCCCCCTCTCGGCCCCACCGCCCCTCTCGCCTTGCTCGGGGCCCCCTCACGACCCTTCCCCGAGCGCCCCTCACCCAGCCGGGCCGCAGCGGGCCCCGGGCCGGCCCGGGGGGGCTCCGCCAGGCCGCGGCCTGCACCGGCCGTCCCCGCCCACTCGCCAGAAGCCACCGTGTGTGCCCCCCCCCTTCCCGGTCCCCGCGGCGCGGGCGGCTCCTCACCGGTTTCGGCGGGGCCAGGGCACCGAGGGGCGGAGGAGCTGAGCCGCCGCCTCAGACACCAGCACCGCCGCGCAACGCACCCTGCTGCCCAGCCCCGGCCGGGCGCGGGCAGAGCTGACCCCACCCCGCCACCCCGACTGGCAGCTCCGCCTACCAATGGGTGCCGCCGGGCATCGGGCGGGGGAGGGGGGTGGGCGGACCGGCGGGGGAAGGCGGGGCTTGGGGTGCAGCCGCCAGGTTCGGTTGCGACGGCGGCGCGGAAGGAGGGCGAGGCCGGCTGCGGAGCGGCGGGGGGAGCAGCCAATCAGCGCGCGGGGCGCGGGAAAGGGCGGGGCCCTATGTAAATATATGTTAATATTAATGAGCGGTTCGCCGCGGGGGAAGGGCGCGGGGCGCTGCAGCGGCACGTGGAGCCGCGGCCGCGACGCCCCAGAAATCGTTGCAGCCCCGGGACGGATTCACGGACCCCGTGGACCCCTCCAAGCTCCCCCGAACCCCACAGGGCCCCCCGGGACCCCCGTTCTGGGATGTCCCACTCCCTCCCTGCCCCTCGGTGCAGCCTGGCCGTGCCCCTTCCAGTCCCCGGGACACCCCCAAAAACTCAGGGTGCTGCTCGGCCCCGGGGGGGAGGACGACACACGAGGTTGGGGTGATGCTTGACAGGCACCCCCGGTCATGCTGTGCCCCGCAGCGTGCCTGGCGGGGTGGGCTGCAGTGGGCCTGGGTGGGGGGCATGGCCCGTGGCATGGCCCCAGTGCAGGAACTCACCTCCTGGGGCTGGGGGAACCCCTGCCAGCCTGGAAACCCCCCCACAACACTGCTGCGGGACTCAGGGCACCCCAAACCCCCTCGACCCCCCCCAGGCAGAGCTTTTCCAGCCCAGGGCTGCGGGGCCCAGCAGCCTGTAGGATGGGGGGGAGAGGGTGGCCCCTTGCTGCTGAGTGGAGCCCCCCACCCCGCTGTCCCCCATCCCCCCCAGGTCCCCCTGATGCTCTGGCCCCGGGTGCAGCAGTCCTGAGGCTGCTCTAGCTTACACCAGGACAGGATGGGCTCTGCCCAGCCCCGTGTGCTGAGTGGGGGTCTGCCACTCTCTCCCCACCCCCGGGCACCAGCAGAGCCGCTCTCCCTGGGCAGTGAGAGGAAAATCCAGGGGGATGAATCAGCAGCGAACAGGAGTCATGCTGGCGGCGCCGGGGGAGCAGGAAATCACGCTCGCCGGCCCGGCCCGGCCATGAATCGAGGCTTTGATTCCCCCAGCTGCCACCGACCGGGTCCCAGCGGTGCCTGGCTCCCGACTGCCGTGCCAGCAGGGCAAGGGGGGCCTGGAGCCCCCCACGGGAGTCACCATGGGGGGACGGAGCCACGTCTGTGGGGCAGGAGGGGCTGCAGCCATCGCTTCCCAGCACATCCCAGTGCTGTGCCGGCCTGCAGCGGGGCCACACCAGTACGCACCAGCTGCAGCTCCAATCCCAACACGAACTGAGATGGCAAAATGCTGGGTCTGGGCTGTCCCCACCAGCTCTCCCTGCCCCGGGGGGGGGGTACATTGTCCTGCTGCTGGGCACACACCAGCCCTCACCAGCGCCTGTGCCCAAGTTGGGCTGGAAACCCCATAATCCTGTCAGCAGGAAGAAGGCTCAGTTTGCTAATCCAGTTTGCTCCCATATGCCCTCACCCATGGTGTTATAAACCACTTTGGCTGCAGATGGAGCTGTACCGGGGTGGGGGGGGACCAGCTTCAGGGGTGCAAGGGCCACAAGCACTGCCGGGAGTATCCCCCCCCACCCTCCCTGGAGGGGGGACATGAGGGACAATGTCCTACGCAGCCATAGGGACCCGGCGTGACGCGCGATGCCAGGAGCTGGTTTGGGTCCCAAATGCTGGATTTGTGCGTTTTATGGCTGCAGCGACGGCTCTTCATCAGCTGGGGGAGCAACGGGAAACGGTTGCACCACGGCTAGTCCTGCCGCTTGCTGATTAACACTCAGAAACAAATTGTTTAAACCCCGAGCCTGAGGGAAAGCGCTGGCTGCCCTGTGAGGATCATCCGGTTCAATCCTGTGCTGCTGCCTGGGCTCCCAACTGAGGGTTTTGGGGGGCTCAGGGTGCTCCCGACCCCAGTGGTTTGATGGATTCTGGGTGCCAGGCTTGGGCACAGGGGCCTGTGGTGGCCAGAGCCCCCCAGACCCTGTTGGGAGCAAGTGGCCTTTGCTGAGAGCACCCTGGGGGACACCCCAAGGGGCACCTTCGGGACATCCCTCAGAGCGTCCCAAGGGACACCCCACCCTGCAGCAGGACCGTGGTCCCCTGATGAGCCTCTCCTGCTCCGTGGTGGATCCATGGTCTCAGGTCCCCATCAGCACTGGCCAGGGTAGCGGGACAGCGGGGGGGGACAGAAGCGGGGGGTAGAGAGGGGGGACAAGAGACCTGGGAATGGGGGGGGCAGAGATTTTTTGTCCCCAAGCTGAAGGCGCTGCAGAGCCACTGTAAACACTGGGGGTGTCGCAACACAAGAGTCCTGATTTTGGTGTGACAGTGCCCAAGAGGGACACCTCCATGCCCTCCCCCCCAATACCTGTGAGCCCCCCAGCCTTGCCTGGGGACCTCCGCAGCCCTGGGGGGCCCTGGGGGGGTCCCAGCGGGTGGGGACCGGCACTGAGTGTCCTCACACCTGTGTGTGCCCGTCCTGCTCTCCTGCCCTGGCACCCACCGAAGGTCCCGGCTGCCCCCAGCCCACGGGAGGGACACGGGGACGGGACAGACATGGGGACAGAGGCGGTTCCCATGGCTGGTGCCAGGGAGCCGTGACATCCCCACGGAGCTGTGACCATCCCTGTGGAGCTCTGAGGGTCCCTGTGGACCTGTGACCATCCCACGGAGCCACAACTGTCCCCAGGGACCTGGGGCCATCCCCATAGAGCCACAGCCATCCCTGCAGAACCGTGACTGTCCTGAGCCATGACCATCCCCATGGAGCTGTGATGTCCCCATGGAGCCATGACAACCCCACAGAGCTGTGATTGTCTCCACTGGGCTGTGACATTCCCACGGAGTCGTGACCATCCCCACAGAGCCATGATGTCCCCAGAGAGCCATAAGCATCCCCACGGAGCCATGACGTCTCCACGGAGCTGTGACATCCCCACAGAGTTGTGACGTCCCCACAGAGCTGTGACATCCCCATGGAGCTGTGACATCTCCACAGAGTCGTGATGTCCCCACGGAGCTGTGATTGTCCCCACTGAGCTGTGACATCCCCATAGATCCGTGACATTCCCATGGAGCTGTGATGTCCCCATGGAGCCGTGACTGTCCCCACGGATCTGTGACTGTCCCCACGGATCTGTGACGTCCCCACAGAGCCATGATGTCCCCACAGAGACATGATGTCCCCATGGAGCCATGACCATCCCCACGGAGCCGTGCCCTTGCCGAGGCCCTTGCAGCCTGCGGCAGCCCTACTCCCCCCGCCACCCCCCCCCCCCGCCTGCGCCCACGTGCCCACGCGGCTCCCGCGCCCGGGGAGCAGATGGTTTCCATGGCAACAGGCATGATGACGCACACAGCGGGCTCCCACCCCTTCCCCACGGGGCCGCCAGCCCGTGCGGGCAGCGAGGGGCGGGGGGCACCCCCCAGCAGTGGGGGGCTGCTGGGGCGCGGGGGCACGCAGGCGCACACGTGCGCACACGCTATGGCACGTGCATCGGCGGAGATGCTGCTGCACGCGTGCGCGTGCTTCCGTGTGCAACACGGTCACACGTGCACCAAGCAGGCGCACGCATGTGCATTGCACGTGTGTGCACCCCCAGCCCCCCCCTCCTTCCACCCCCATCGGGCCGAGCCGTGGGCCCCCCCGCCACGGTCCCGAGCCCCCAGCTGGGTGCTGCTCCGCAGGGACGCGGGAGCATTTCTCATCTCTTTATTGAAGGAAGACTATTTCTAGAATAAAGGCTACATCGTAATGTCACCTTGTCCCCTGGGCGCTTGGGTCATGTTGTAAAAAGCCGGGGGGTGCAGGGAGCTGGGCGCAGCGCGGGGGCCCAGCCTGCCCGGGGACACCCCCTCGGGGACACCCCCTTGGGGACGCGGCGGAGGGTGAGCGGGGCCGGAGCGAGGGGACAAACCCCGCTGGGATGAGGGGCTGGTGACAGCGCGGGGGCCCCGCTCCGGCCGTGGGGGAACAAGCAGGGCTGCACCAGAGCTGGGAGGGGGGGAGCATGGGGGGATCTCCGGGGTGTGGGGGCCCAGGGCACCCCGCAGAAGGGACTCTGTGGGATTAAGGCGGGGGGGGGGGGGACGCTGACCACCGGTGGGGCACTGCAGCAGGGAGCAGCAGTGCCCATCACCGTGGCATCGTGGCCAAGCCGGGCTGCGGGGCTCATCCTGTGCGGGAAGGGGACAGCGGCGGGGGGGGGGGGTGGGTGGGGAGGGTGTTTGGGAGGGCCCAGGTGGCCGCGGGGCCAGGGGTCTCCCACTGGAGCTCACCAGGATTGTGCTGGGTCAGGACCTTGCTCGGACCCGATGCTTTGTGCTTGGGCTGGTGGCTCCGGGTTGCGGCACCGGGACGGGACTGGAGACGGCGGGGACAGCGGTGGCAGGACAGGGCTGGGGGGGCAGCGGGCACCATGCGGGGGGCTGCTCCCGCCCCGGGGTCTCTGCCTGCAGGAGCAGAGCACTATGGCGTGGGGCCGGGGGCACGGGGAGGGCCTGGGGCGCTTGTGACTGTCCCCAAGGGTGACACCGACACCCCCGCCTTGTACCGTCCTTCCCACCCGCGAGGACCGACGGTGGCCTCCCTCACTGGGGAGGGGACGAGGATGGGGACCGGCCGGTGCCGCTGGTTGTGCTGCAGAGTGTGTGTGGGGGGGGAGAGGGGGGGTGTCCGTGTGCTCCCTGGCAGTGCCCGGCCGCATGCCCCCAGACCTGTTGAGCATCCCTCGGCTTGGCGGGACGCCCCCGTCTTCGCCCCCAGACCTGGGGCGAGCGCAGCCGGCGCGCCGCAACGTCCCCGCACAGTCACAGTGATGGCACGGAGGACGAGGAGACGGCCCCGCTGTCGCAGCCGTGGGAGGGGAGAGGGGGGGACCGGAGTGGGGGTGCGGGCCAGTCCGGGGCTCTACATGATGCTGCACTTCCCCTTGATTTTGTCTGTCCTCTTCTGCTTGCTGGAGCGCTTCCCGTCGATGGTGAGGCTCACATTCCTCCTCTTCTCCAGGTTCAGCAGCTCCTGGAAGAGCTCCTTGACGTTGTAGTTCATCTTGGCCGAGGTCTCCATGAAGGCGCATTTCCACTCCTTGGCCATGGCCTCCCCCTCCCTGCTCTCCACCTCCCGCTGCGTCTCGTCGCATTTGTTGCCCACCAGCATGATGGGGATGCTCTCCACGCTGCCCTTGATCTGCACGATCTGCTGGTAGATGGGCTTCAGCTCCTCCAGGGACTGCTTGCTGGTGACGGAGAAGACCAGGATGAAGGCATGGCCCTTGGAGATGGAGAGGCGCTGCATGGCCGGGAACTGGTGGCTGCCCGTGGTGTCGGTGATCTGCAGGGTGCAGACGCTCTTGTCACAGCTGATGACCTGGCGGTAGGTGTCCTCGATGGTGGGGATGTAGGTGTCCCGGAAGGTCCCTTTCACGAAGCGCAGCACCAGCGAGCTCTTGCCCACACCGCCAGCCCCGAACACAACCACCCGGTAGTCGTTGCTCTGCTCCGGCATCTTGCCCCGGAGAAGCTGCTGCAGCTGCGGGGGAGAGCGCAGAGGGAGGCATCACGCCGGGAGCCAGGGGAAGAATTGAGCAGCCCTCCCCCCCCCCAACCCCAACCCCAGCTCACAGCCCCCTTTGAGACGCAGATCCCCCCAGCTCCAACCAAGCCAATGCAACCGGGGGGGCGCAGCCCCCCATGCCCATGCCCTTGAGATGCCCTTGCCGTGTGGCCGGGCCAGGCCAGCACTCGCCACCCACCCAGGGTGCAGCAGCATTTGCTATTTTTACCAGCCGCCCGCTATGGCCATATGGCCGAGCCACGGCCACCGGCACAGCAGCTGTGGCCGAAGCTGCCGGGGCAGCATGCTGGGGGGCTGGGGGGCACCCCAGGCACCCCCGGGACCCCTCAGGCAGCAGGAGCAGCCCTGTGGGGCAGCCACCGGCCCTGTGGGGACCCACTGGCACCCGAAGCCCCTGAGAATCCCCGGCGGCTGCCAAGGACAGTGGTGCCATTTAGCCCACAGAGCTCGGTGCCTTCCAGCCTGTGCCGTGCCGTGCCACCCCGTGCCGTGCCACGCTGTGCCCTGTCACCCTGTGCCACCCTGTGCCACCCCTCTGCTCCGCTCCCATCCTGGGGATGCAGCGGAGGGATGCAGGCACCAGGGGAGAGCGAGGCATGGCCGTGGGCTCGTGGCCCCCGTGGCCACCCTCACATTGCCAAACCTCGCTGCCCACTCGCAGGGGATGCAACAGCCCAGGCAGGGCCCCCACTTGTGCCCCCCCCCCCCCCCCCCCCCGAGCAATGCAGCCCCGGGTTGTGAAACGTGGGGGCACAAAGAGCTGCCAGTACTGAGCCCCGGTCTGGGCATTGCCTCAGCCGGGCCCTGCCTCAGTTTCCCTGCTGTGCCACAGGAATGGCAGCGTCAGCTCTGCCCCGTGGTGTCCCCGGTGCACGGGGGGACAGCCCAGAGCCTCGGTGCTATTGAACCTCCCGGAGGTGCCCCACCAACAGTGACGAGCAGGGTGGGAGGGGAGGGGAGGGAAGGGGCTCCCGGGCGCTGCTTTGGGCAGATGCCGGAGGGGGTCAGGTCTGTCCCCGGCCAGCTCCAATCCTACTACCCTCCACCTCAATTCAGGGACCAGCAGGCCTGGTGGGGGGTCAGCAAAGTGCCTCAGGCACCCTGGGCACAGCAGCTCCCTCATCCCTGGGCACCTCGGGGTGTGTGGTCGCTGCACCCCCATCCCGTGTCACCCGTGGGTCCCCGGATCCTACAAGCAGCCCCAATACCCCGGCACGTCCACAAATGCCCAGGCAGTGGCTGGTGCTTGGAGAACCAGGCAAGCAAGTGATGGGGAGCTGGAGAAGGAGCCCATCACCATGGCCTCGGACACCCAAGGAGCTTGTCCCATCACGGGCAGAAAAACATCCCTTGGGTGTCCCCCCGTGTCGGGAGCGTCACTGGCATGCGGGGGCCGGGGCTGGAGCAGGGGCCATGGCTGAGCCAGTGCGTGGGAACATCAAACCTCGGCCGGGGCTGGCAACGGTCCTGCCCGTCCCACTTGCCCACGGCACAGCCAAAAGCAGCCCCGGCATGGGGCACTGGGTCCAAAGGGGCTGGGCTGGATGGGGCCTCCAGAGCGCCCGGGGGGTGCCCCCAAAAGCCCCGTGGTCAGTGCCCAGCAGCCCCCCAACCCCACAGAGCCCTCCGTGCCTGCAGCTCGCGGGGATGGGGCCACCCGCCAGCCGGGGGCACAGCCTGGGCCTGATCCTGCCGCGGAGGGGGGCTCTGCGCTCCCCCAGCACCCCTCAGCATCCTCCCATTCGGACACCCAGCGCTGGGGGAGACAAACAGCGAGGGGGGGGAGGGACTGGGATGGAGGGGCAGGGTAGAGATAGGGACAGGATGGAGATGAAGGCGCAGGATGGCGGGCAGAGAGCAGGGTCCCACCGCCCCGGGCCGGGGTCCCGGTCCCGCTCCCCGGCCGTGCCCTGCCCTTGCCGGGGGCACCCCCCGGTCCCGTTCCCCCCCCCCCCCCCCGACCCCCGGAGGCGGCTGCCCCGTGCCCGCTGCCCCCCGGCTCCCCGCCGCGCCGGTCGCATTGCGGTGCCCGTCGCCTCACCGTGTCCTGCCCGGGATCCGCCCTTGGCTGCGGGCTGCGCGGCGGCCTCAGCGCATGGCCCGGGCCCGGGGTGCTCCCGGCGCGGCGGCTCCGGTCCGCCCGGGGCGACGGGGCTGGGCTCGGCGGGGCCCGGATCGGATGGGCTCGGCTCGGTTAGACCCGGCTCGGCTGGACTCGGCTCGGCTCGGTTCGGCTGGACTCGGTTCGGCTCGGCTCGGCTCGGCTCGGCGCGGTGCGGTGCGGCCGCCGCAGAGCCGATCCCGCCCCGCCGCCGGCCCCGCCCGCCGCGCCCGCCCCGCCCGGGGCCGCCGGACCCCCGGGCCCAGCCCCGAGCGGCTCCGGGACCGGGCGGCGGGGACAGACGGACACGGAGAGACGGGAGGGGGGGGGGGACGACACGTACGGACAGGGACACACGGGGGCAGGGACAGACAGACGGGGATAGGGATGCACGGACAAGGACAGGGACACACGGACAGAGACGGACATGGAGAGATGCATGGACAGGGACAGAGAGACAGATGGACAGGGACAGACAGGGATGGGGATGCACAGACACGGACACACAGAGACAGACAAACGGGGATGGGAATACACAGGGGCAGGGACAGACAGACAGACAGACTGAGATATACGAGGATGTGGATGTGCAGACAGGGACACACAGACAGGGATACCCGGGGATTAGGACACACAGACAGGGGCCACACATGAAGAGAAACATGGATGTTCCGCGTTGCAGGGACATGGGATGGTGACAGGGGACATGAGGACACACTGACTGGACAGACAGACGCCGACAGCCCGAGCTGGCAGGGTGGCATAAGCCTCCCCGATAGTCGGGGGTGGCCCAGGCAGCCGGGGTCTGGCCTTGGGGACACAGGTGCCTGCGCTGCCATCGTGTCACCCAGCACAGGACCAGGAGCACGCGCACACGCACGTGCACAGGGGCACCACAGGGGCTCTGTCACCAACTGCAGCGTCCCCTCCCCTGGGTGCTGCAGCTAAGTGGGGTCAGGATCCCCAAAACCCCTGAGGGGACACACTGGGGGTCCTCGGGTGGAACTCAAGGGGGTTGGGGGGGTTGTCCATGGGACCCCCAGGCCACTTGCAGCAGGACAGTCCCCAAGAGGGGGGGCTCCTGTGCCGAGGGTCCCACAGCCCCCCCGCCGCCAGCACGGGGGGACAGCGGGGCTGGAGCCCACCCCGGGTCCAGCGAGGTTGAAGGTCCCTGCCAAGGTGGGGGGGCTGTGGCCAGAGGGGGCTACCAGCCTGGCGAAGGGGCTACTGGCCCCGGGCTGCGTGACTCACGCTCCCTCCTGAGCAGCAGCAATTAAAATCCGCAGCTGCTATTAATAGCTCGGCAGCACCCACGCGGCCGGCGGCACGCAGCCCGGGGAGAGGCAGCGCCGGGTCCAGGCAGAGCAGGGCGGGGGGGGCTGCGACCACCTCCCCCCCCACACACACACCCCAGGGGTGGGGGGGCCACACACACCAAGCCCCCAGCCCCAGGGCTCAGGCCAGCAGTCACAGCGACTGGGGGTGGTGGGCAGCCAGAGCCGCGCCCCCCCCACGCCTTGCTGCACTGGTGGGTGCCCCCCCCCGATGCGTTATTAGCTGGACGGATGCTCCTCGTTAGAGGAAATGAATGAGTTTCCTTGATCATTTTAGCAGCGGCTCCTCCTCCGTTTCATTCAGGCCCCAGCTCCCCGCCGGGCCTTACACAACCGGGACGCTGCCGGCTGCACCCGCAGGGCTGAGGCAGGCTGATGGCAAAGGGGGGGTTGGAGAAGTGTGTGTGTGGGGGGGAGAACGGGAAGGTCCTGCCCCCACGCTCAGCACAGCTCCCAGGGTGTGGGGGGGTCCGGCTGCCCGGTCCCCACGGTGGGTTTTGCCTCCTGGGGAGGCTCAGGCCACCGCAGGGAGGTGCACGTGCGGCCACCGCGTGAGCCAGGGACTGAGCAGCCGGTGGAGTGTGTGTGTGTGTGTGGGGGGACGACACTTCAAATAAACCAGGGACACCAAGGGGCAAGGCCAGAGCCTTTATTGGGAGCAGGAGCTGGGGCTTCTCCTTCTCAGCTCCTAAACCCCCCCATGGAGTGCTGGCTGCTGCCTCTCACAGGGGAATAACCCCCCCTCCAGCACCCCCAGAGCACCAGCTCGGCCTCACACAGCAATTCACAGCCCCCCCCTCCCCTGCACCGCTGGCCAGCCCTGAGCCAAGACCCCCCCCAGAATAAGAAAAGGGGTAAAATGGAGGCTCCAGCCTGGTCCCCCCCCCCCCAGTCACACTGACCCCAGAGGGATCCCTGATCCCTGCTTGCATTAGCAGATCCCTACCGATCTTTTGGGCACCAGTGAAGAAATCTCTGCTCAACAGCATCTGTTGGCGTTAATACATCAGCCCCTGGATTGCCGATGGGGCCAGGGGGAGGAAGATGAGGTGGGGGAAGGAGGCACTAGGATAGACCCTGCCCTTGGGGCTCTGCCTTTGGCAAGACTCAGGGAGCTGCTCCCATTTGCCCAGATACAGGGGGAAAACAAAACAAACCAAAACAAAACAAAAAAACAACCAAACAAAAAACCTACAAGGAAAGAGTTAGCTGCAGAAACAAAGAGGCAGAAAGCTGGTGGCTGTGCCTGAAAAGGGACAACCCAGCATCCCACCCACTCAGGACCCCCAGCAGCGCCTAAGGGGAGCGATGCTGCCCTGCCCGAGCTGCCTGCCAGAACTGAAATAACACGCAGAGGTTTACCACCTCCAGGCAAATTACATTCGCATCAGGCCCTGCTAATGTGTGTCATCTGAAGCCTAAAATAACCCTCCCGCCCCCCCTTCCAGTCCAGGTTTTTCAAAGCAAGATTAATTGACTTTAGTATGTTGCAGCAATTAAAATAGCCAGCACCAGGAACCGTCAGATGATGCTCATCAGCCTCCATATGCTGCAGCTGTGCCAACCACTGGCTCCAAGATGCTGCTTCAGTGTCTCACCCACCCTTCTTCCCGCTTTGGATCACGCGACCAGGGACTGCGCCACAGCTAAGCCCCGCTCCACATTGTTATAATTCCATCAGCGCGTCCAAAAGCTCTGCTCTGCCTGCGGAAGCCGCTGCAGAAGCGAAGGCTAGGTCTAATTAAAATGCATCCCCCGCGAGAGGCCGGCGAGCAGTGCAGCGGCGGTAGCCGGCCGGGCCGTGGAGCAGGCGTTACAGCCGGGGGAGGGCAGGTTCCTGGCTCCAGCCCCCGATCTGAGCTCCTCGTCTCAGACAGCAAATCCGGAGGATCACGATGGGATCTGCAGCAGGCTGAGCTTCCCTGGGGGGACGCGCTCTGGAGACACAGAAGGGATCTGCTTGTGCGCAGTCAGGTTGCAAAGTGCCTCTAATCAGCCTTTCCACAACCTCATAAACCACCGGGGAAGAGATTTCTCTCCTTTGAAAACACCGACAAAACACCCTGGGACCAGTACGGCCCCGTGCACCCGCTGCCAGAGAGAGCAGAGGCTCTGGGAGCAGCCCTGAAGACGTGGTTGATGGTGATGGCTAAACCCATTTCACTGCAGATTATTTAAACACAAGCACTTGACCCAAAATATTAATGCTGGAAATCGCTGCTGCCTGTTTCTTACAAACTAATGGGTCCTGGGCTCTGCGGGTGCTGCGGAAGGGCCTTCAGACAGGGACAGGAGGAGTTTGAAACGATACACTAACAGGCTGCTGGAGGTTTTCTTTAGGGAATGCTCAACATATGGATGAGATGCAGAGAACGAAGCACAGGACAGGGGCCCGGCCTCATTTCTACCGTTAATCACTCTGAGAAACAAAAACTCCCAGAGCCACTTGTGGGTTAAAATGGAAGCTCCGTTCAGGGGGAGCGGTGGCATCAGCCACACCACGCGGCCCCAGAAGGGATGTTATTTTTGGCAGCTATTACAACCAGGTTTTGCTCAAAACTAAGCTAGCAAAAGCAGCTTAGTGCAGCTGTGCAATCCGTGATCCCACCTGCCTTTGACTTCATTTCTGTTACTGTTTCTCACCTTCTCAGAGCCCGAGAACGAAGGAAGCAGAATCTCAACCACAGTTTCTGCAATGAGTGTGGGGGGAAGAAGCGAGGGGGCTGGCTGGGCAGATTAACAGGAGACCACATGCTTGACAAGCTCTGAAGGCAGCCTTAGAACCAGATTCTTAATGTCTGTATCTACTAATCTCCACTGAAGCTGCTGCACCCACAGATCCAAGGGGCAGGGACAGTACCTTGTGACACCTACACTGGGACACTCCTTATTTTTATCTCCCTCTGAGCACACAGGAAGAAATTCTCCTTCTTCAGGTCAAGACAGAAATACTGCCTGGACCGTGATGGTTCACTTGGATGTTGAGCTTCAGCGTCCCCCTTGGCTGAAGAGGCGGCTCATCGCCGGTGCCGTTTGCGAGGGGAGGTTTGCTTCCCATCACTCCTGTGCTCACCACTTGAGGAAGACCAGCCCAGCCAGAGCTGCGTAGCCCAGCACCAGGAAGAGAACCTTCAAGAGACGGTTGTTCTTGTCTTCCAACTCCTTCGCAAGGATCTCAAAGAAGGTGACGAACAAGAAAGTGCCTCCTGCGATGCCTTGCAGGATCAGGGAAGTAATATTGCTGGCCGCATTTTGGGTGCTCCGAATCCCCATCCCAATGCTAATGCCCACAGGAATCATCAGGCTCACCGTCACAGCCATCTTCGCAGCATCCCTCAGTGGCAACGAGGTCTTGGCCATGCTGATGCCCAGTGCCACCGCTACCAGCGTCTCGTGAATGGCAACTCCTATGAACAAGCTCATGACTTTGTTGCCCTCCTCCTGCAAGCCCAGGGCCAGTCCCTCAAAGATGGAGTGTGTGCACAAAGCAAACACCAGCCCGACGAGCCGTAAGGGTCTGGAGCGGGAGAGCTCCTGGATATTGAAGCCGTGGCTGTGGGAGTGGTAGCTGTGTTCACTGTGTGACGTGAGTCCTCGGGAAGATGCGATGAAGGGACTCTCGTATTCAGAGTCGCTCCCGGCATCCGAACCAGCATTGAAGGTCTCTAAGTCAATGAAGGAGGGCTTTTCCTTCTGGAAGGTCAAGATGAGCTGCTCCACAAAGACCATCACAAAGAAGCCAACCATCATGATGGTCTCAGCCACCGGGTAGTCCGTGGTCACGTTCCCCTGCCTGAGAACTTCACTGAGCTGGAATGAAGCAAACAATCCCCAGCAAATCAATACCTTTGTCCCTCTAAAGGGAACTATTCCAATTGTGTTCACACAACTCTAAACAGACACTAAATTGATCCATGAGGCTTTAATACCCTTATATACAGGCCTAGGTGTAAGAGACAGGGAAACTATTTCCCTTCCAGCTGGTTCGTGGCTGTCTGGAAGTGTTTTAAACACACACTAAATGGCAGGCGCTTAAGCCTCACATGCCAGGCAATGCTCAGCCTCCTCCTGCATCAAAAAAAATCTCCAGTTACCCCACCCAGACAGTCAGCAGTAGCCGAACGGGAGGCAGGTGCTGCTTACCCTCCTGATCTGAAGCACCAGGCACAGCACAGCCACTTCTGAGGAGGCTTCACAGGCCACTCTGGCAAGACACAGACCCTCCACCTCCACTGCCACAGGGCCAGTGGGCTGGTGGCCTGGGCTCCTGCAGGGCAGGAAAGGGGAGGGTGGTCCCCCCTGTACAAAGCTCCCTAACATCCTCAGTGGCACAGGTTTATTAACACTGCTCGTAAGCAGTTACCTTTTCTCTCACGGCAGGCAGCAAGGTGTTGAAGCAGGTGGCCAGGAAGACCCCTCCTCCAAAAGAATTGCAGAGGGCAAGGACCTTCTTGGAGCGATGAGCTTTCTCGTAATCAGCCTCAATTATCTTGACGGGCAGGAGGGACCCAGCCAGCATGAGGACACAGATGCCCATCAGACACAGCACTTTGGCGACCACGATCTTCATCGTGCTTCCCAGTAAACGCTCCCTGCCAAGGGCCCCGCCGGCCGCTGTTAGAGTGGGCGCATCAGCAGGCGACGGCACAGACAGACCTCAAGGGAAAGGTGCTCCGGGTCTCGGTACCTGTGGTAGGGAGTAAAACAGGAGAGGTTCTCCTCTATAAGCATATCTTGTGCAGAACAGCACCTTGCACCCCAAACTGCATGCCAGTAGTCACCTTCACTCCCCAGTGGCGAGGGGTGGAGATGACAGCAGCAGCACCTCAGGCACAATGGGTAGAGAAACTGGCAGAGAAAAATTTAGCTGCAGCAGGCAGTAACTTAAAAAACCTTGTAAGAATTGTACTGGCCACACAGAACTGGCACAGCCTGTTTTTAGAGGTTTCATTTGAAACACCTACACCACGACAGACACAAAACGCTTGAACTTGCAGTAAGATCCACCCGACTCCAACCAAAGGATCGAATCTTTGGTTTTTAATCATGAGAAAGGAATATGGACTTGAGCTGGTGGCATTTGTCTCCCAGAAATTAACTTAAAGATCTCCCTTCAACATTCACACAGGTTTTTTTGTGCTGCCCTTGAAACAAGACTATCAGATTCATTCCTGCTCGGTTTCCTGAGCCACCGTCACCATCCCATTAGGGTGGGTCGCAGCCTGTACAGCTCACTGTTTGCTCTGTACCAGGAGTCCGTGGAAGTTTCGGTTGCCAATCGATACGCATGGCTCTGAAGAGAAACCCTACAGGGAAATTCACTGTGATGTTCTCTATTGCCCATAGGGTGTAACAAAAGAGGAGACAGATGCTAGTTTCATACAAGAGAAAAATACCAATATTTGAGTTGCCTAGGTCACAAAAATTGACTCAATCTGAAAAATAAAAATGTTTCCCTCCAGGTTACATGCAATGGCAGTGAAACTCATTTTCCTATCATAATTTTACAAAGTAACAATGCTATTTAAAAAAAAAAATCTATTTCTAAAAATACATAAGCGTGAACAGGTCACTCTACTGCTGCTCATTCTTGCAGCAGCACACTCAGCACCTTGGAGGAATTCACTTGCCACTTGCACCAAATTGGACTTGTAAAGTCAAACCAACGGCACCTCGAGAAGGTTCTGTTACAGGTTCTCTGCCAGACAGCCCCGAGCACTGATGAGAAGCTACAGCGTGCATTGGGGTAACAAACTAACACCAAACATTTCCGACCACACTGACACCCACACCTGTGATGGACAAGGTAAATAATTGGATACCTGTTTGTTGGAGCGGAAAATTAATTTTAATACAAAAGATTCCTGAGGCTAAAGTCTCCCTTGAGGGCTGACAGTATTAATCACTATCATCATTTCTGCACAGCAGGCTGCATAAATGGTGCTTTTATGAAAAGGAAAGTGGGAGACTGAATGACTCTGTACTTAGTAAGGGGGTTTAAAGCCTTTTTCTGAGTCTGCATTTCAAGCAGGAGTGAACAGAGAGGTCATGGCGGTCAGGCCATCTGCAGCAGGTCTGCTTCTCAGCTGGGTATCCACAGGAAGCGATGTTCATCAGAAGCAAACCCTGCTCAGATGACACTGATTGACTCGCTCCCTGGTGAACCCAGCAGACGAGCCGGGTCTGAACAAGTCCAGAGCCTGAAAGCCTTGGTGTACGTTGACAGGGCTTCCGCAGCAGGCAGCCTGTCACCGCGGCTGACGAGCAGGCTCCCTCTCCAGAGATGTTGACTCCAGGACTGCCAACGCTCGTCAGCACCGTGCTGACACAGCTAACGAGTCACACCGCCTTTGTAAAGCACGCGCTGCGGTTTCAGCGTCAACAAAACGACAAGGATTTCACCTCGCACGCTGACGGCGTGTTGTTCTGCCAAGCTTCTCAAATGAACTCTCTCAGAAAACGACGTTAGCAACAACGCCTCGGGATTGCAGCTCACGGGAGCTTGCGACGGCACCACCCACACCAGCTGCGTGAGGCAGCCAGACAGCTCCCAGGACAGCAGAGAGGAGGAACAAACTCCTTTTCCAGAATTCACACCTCCTCTGGAACACATCTGGCTTCCACTCAGAAACTCAGAACCCCCCCTAATTTTTTTTTGGTTGTTGTTTGTTGTTTTTTTTTTTTCTTTCCCATTTTTTTTTTTTTTTAATCCAGCAACAGCCCACAACAAAGCGTAAAGCCTCAAGCTCCCAACAGCAGGTGGAGCAGCCGCCCTTCAGTGCCCCCTGACCTGGGGCGGAAAGCAGCTTAGGGAAAAATTTAGCGGTAAGTACAAGAAATACCTTGTGTTTCTCCCCGCCTGCTCCTTCCGACAGCCCCACGTTCAGGAGCCAGCGCTGCCAACGTTTGGGCTATCTCACCAGCCTGAAAACTTCTGTAACAGAAAATGAACTCAGGACAGGTACTTCTTGGCTGAGTGGCCCATAGTGAAACATTCAAGCAATGAAAAATATTACATAAAGCAGACAGCCCTCTATGGAAGAAAGAAAAAAAAAAAAAAAAAAAAAAAGGGTTTCCTTATGCATGATCCTTTAAATCTCAGTTTTTCTCACATGCTCACAATGCCCCCAACACACTGGCCCAGGGAAGACGGCGGTGATGCTGAAAGCAGGCTGGATTCCCCCAGAGCTGCGTTTGTCCCAACGCCTGAAGCCACTTGAAATCGTCCTGGTCACCCTGGAAAAGGGGGTGCTGGGGGAGAGGGGGGGCTTCTCCCAGGCCACCAGAGCAGCTTTCAACCTGCTAGAGCACCCTGAAAGGGTGCAGAGATGGGGGGCGACGCGGCAAGGGGTGCTGAGAGGGGGGGTGGGTGGCTCTGGCAGGGAGCGGGATGTCCCTGACGGCTGGGGACAGGACCCAGCCCGGCCCCCGCTGCTCCGGGGTCACCCCAAACCCCGCCACCCCCCAAATTACCTCAGCAACAGGCCCCCCCAACACCGCTGTTACCCCCATAACGCCTCCCGGCCCCCCCAGCCCCGCCATTACCTCACTCATTACCTCACTTACCCCAACCGCCACGCCCGGTTACCCCAGCAACGGCCCCCCCCCCCCCCCCCCTTGCTGCCTCTCCCGCGCCTGCTCCTGCTCGCGCCCCGTCCAGGCAGCCCCCTCACCACCGCCCGCCCACGACGCCCTCCCATTGGCCGCGGCGGGAATCCCGATCGCCCATTGGCCGCGAGGGCTACCCGTCAGCCCGCTCACGCCTCTCCCCGCGCCCGCTGCCGAATGACGCCCGCGGGAAACGCGGAGCGCGGCGGCGGGTTCCGGGGCGGCCCCGCTGCGCTGTCCGGGGCCGCCGGTGCTGAGCCACCGGCCCCGAAACCGAGAACCTGGGCACTGCCCCTGCCCCCGGAGAGCTGCGCCTTGAACCCGCGGGTATAAAAAGAGAATGATCGAGAGGTGAAGAAATAAAGGTACCGCTACAAGAGAGCGAGGAGGGGAAGGAGAGGGGGGAACAGGTCTGAAAAAAAAAAAAAAAAAAAAGGAGGAAAAATCCCTGTGGTTCCCTTCTTTTCAATAATTAAACTTTTTCTTTTCCACGCAGTTTTCGGTCCCAAAATATCCCATTGTGCTCTGTTACAGAAAGCAGCCAGAGAACTGAAAGGGAGCAGCCGTGGAAAGAAACAGTTCCCAGCTCTGTGCTGCAGAAATACAGAGAAGGAGCATTTCAGCAGAAAAGAACAAAAACACTAGAAGGGGATGGATGAAAAACCCATCTGTGGGTTGTGCCTGGCAGCAGCAGCACTGGAAACGGCACCGCAGCCCAGCGCACGCCCGGGGCTCGCTTCAGTCATCTGGGCAAGAGGGATAACAAAGAAAGTGTCCAAATATTTTATTCTTCACAAGTTACATTAACCACATATTACTTTATGGAGCATTTACAAATCGTGTTTGGTTTTATTTTTTTTTTTTCTTGATATTAATCTTCAGCTATGCCTGCTTGCTCACACCACCGGGTCTCCCAAAAGGGCGTTTTCCACCTCACCTTTACCCACCGCCTTCAGACCAGCCACTTTTTGCCCAGCAGTCAGGCCCCAGACACACCTTCCCCACCATGATCGAGTAACTACTTTAAAAACAATTCTGAGGTTGATATCAAAGTCTCTGGCCTCAACTAGTGACTTCTAGGGGGAACTGGCCAGAGCTTCCTGCTCGCCCAAAGATGGACATGGGTAACTCTAGAGGGGTGGAAAACTGAGGGTCGCTCGAGTTGGCTACAGGAGCTTTTTCCCCTCATCTATGGGCTGAGGTGTTACTGCTCCTCACCAATCCCCCATGTTGAACCAGCAGCCACTTGATTTCTGACTACCCAAGCAGCATTTTTATTCCTTCTGTTCTCTACTCAGGCGCCCTCTACTCCTACCATTAGCACAGTCAACCAGGTTGATTACTTACATGCATAAAAGACAGATTAAAAAAAGCAGAAAAAAAAATTCTTTTAAACATCAAAAACATCGTATCATTCTTACTGTTCACCCGACTAGTTCACAGATTGGATCATTCCAACAACATAGCCATAATTACTAAACACTATACATATTTTGTCAGGACTGGGGAAGAACCCCAAGCAGTGTAACCAGGAAACCCTCCCTAAAGGAGCTGTCACACACGGGCATGTTCTACCTGGCCAGTCCCAACCCCCCCCGACACATTTACACTAACCTGTGAGAGGTGAGCATCAAACTCCCGTGTATTAACAACGCTGGCAATGTTGCTACAGACCTGAATGAGAAACGCAGTCAATCTAATCAACAGAAACCCTGTTCCTGGAGGCAAGAAGATCCCGTGATCTCCAGAGTGATCAAACACTACTGTCTCATAACTGGCAGGAAGATTAAACGGGGCAGGATGGGGGGTAGGTAGGACTCGAACACTTCTTTGAAGTGGCACATGGGCAGGAAAGTGAAGGTGTGCTGTAGTGAAGAGTGCATCGTTCTTCAAAAACGGGTTAAAAAATTCCCATGTAGCAAATAACATAGAAATGTAACAGTGTAGTTAATTTTGAGTTTCTTTAGAAAGACTGTTGATGCTGGTTTGTGTTCAGCTTGCTGGATCTTCCAGAAGAAAAAAAAGACTAATGGAAAGACCGAGGGGGAGGAGCAGGGACGAAGACTAGGGAAAGAAAGCGTGAATCTGTCTTTAACATGCAGGTCATATAAAGTATTTTGTTATTCCATTTTTTTTTTTTCCCCCTCTTGGACACTTCCAACTCAAGAAATGGCAACACGCACATGGCTTCCAGTTTTTAAAGCAAAGAACATAGTTCCCATGGACTGCGCTGTAGAGACAGGAAGACAAGACATTCGCAAATTCAATTTTTATGAAAATAAAAGTGTCTCTAACCACCCTGAACACTAGATAAAGAAACTCATTCGTCAGTCACACAGTGTGTGAGGGAAGTTCCATCTGAGGCATGGTACTAGCAGTACCGATGCAGAGAACCCATTCTGTACAGAGTGGAGACACACCACATTGCTAAATTAAGGCACAAGACAGATATTGCAGCCAAATTCATAAATTCCCACTCAGCTGGCCACAGCACAGCAGCACTCCCGGCTACAGCCTCACCTGAAGTGCTCATTCCTGCTGATCTTCATTACTGGCACTTGGAGTTCGACTCCTAATCTGGCTTCGTAGCTGTTCTATTAATTCAGGATTCTGCTGCTGCATCTGCTGAGCAAACTGCTGGCCCCTGAAGAACAAGAAACAGTCCCATTAGCGCCCTCTCACACACACACAAACATGGTGTGGTGCTCAGAAATTCTTCACAGTCGATTGTCAAAACTCAACTCTAACAAGTAGTTCATATCGCCAAAAGAGACCTAACACTTCAAGCCTTCCTCAGCTGTTAAATTAAGGTTCTACTTCTGGTCAGAAAAACCCCAAATCCCTTTACTGACCAAGGCAATGGGGAACACCCAGATCTCTACTCACGCTTGTATGAGGCTGGCGAGATCATTTGTGGAGGGACTGGTGCCTGCTGCTCCCATGGTGTTGTGGCCACCAGAAATCATCCCGGACATGCTGTGAAAATAACAGTCATTGCTCAGAGAAGGAAAAAAAAAAAAAAAAAACAACACAGAAATTGTTTGGTTTATGTTGGGAGGGGAATGTCAGCATAATGGGAGTGCCTTCCCACACAGATTATGAAGTTACCTGTAAGGGAATCTTCTGCAAAAACTTTTTGTACATTAACTGCAGAACAGTAACTGTAACATTAAGTTGCACAATATGCATAAATATTTACAATAGTGTCAGCTACTGTATTCCCAAAGATTTTCCCTTTTGTGTGCAAGCCCTGTGTTACATTAATTAAAACACTGCCCTACCTCACACAAGCTATTTACTTGCTCTGCATCAAACAAGACCTACTGACAGGACAGCCTAACCACAGATTCACTCATGGTGAACAGCCCAGAATACACGGTCTCCACAGCCCCTTCCTCTGGAAGTCCTCAGGCCACAGCTGGTGCAGAACCTCAGCTGGCAACATCACTGGAAGGAGCAGGCAGAAGCAAATGGAAATGGTGGCTGACATTCAGCCCTTCAGCCAAATTATCTCGTATGGTAATCAAAGGATGAGCTCCAGAAGGTCTCTAACTCACTGCCTACCTGTGCTCTTGAAAGGATGGTCAAGAGAGGCATGTGCTTTATTAATTTTATGACTTTATATTATCTAAGCATCTCACAAGCACTGGGTATTGATCCTCACAGCCCTGTAGCACAAAGAATGGAAATATTCTCACTCTGAGACGGAGCTGTGAAATCCCGTCTCAGGTCACAAATACCGTGCAGCAGAACCAAACTGACCCCAAGCTTCCCAAACCAAATTCCAGTGCCACGATCTATCCTGTCTCCCTTCAGCAAACGTTTATACTAAGTTCCCTCTTCAACACAGTCCAGAGTACTCAGAACACACACTAGCTCAGGCAACTGGACTGGTTTAAAGGCTGCTCTCCCTACTTTTGGCCCAAGCACCCTCCTGCTCCCCCCAGTTCAGACTTACTGCAAATGCCAAACACACACAGAGCCTCAAACAAGCAGTTCAAAGATGAAATACAAGATAGGATCAAACTTACAGCTGTTGTACTTGTGGATTGTTCATTAGGTTAGATGCCTATTTAAAGAGGGGAGAAAAAAATGACACCCTATTTAGTCAGAAATGACTGGGTAGATATGCAGATGATGTGCCATTCAACTACAAACAAAGTGAAGGCAGATTTGAAACAGATCAATAGGACAAAAATAGCTCATAGAAGCACAGTGCAACACAAGGCTGGTAATGCAGAACAGGCACTCTTTCCACACCCAGCACATTGCAAGGAAAAGCCTGTGAATAAGTCATTTGACCTTAATGAAATACATGCACAGTTTGCACACAGCAACACCGAAACCAAGAAATGAAAACAAATCTGCGGAAGAGGCAATGGAGATCCCCACGCCATGTACTGCTACGTTTCATCCCCGACAGGCCAACACACAGACCACAGGGCCCGGCTGTGAGCCGTAGCCAAATTTACCATACTCATGAAGCCGGGGTTGTTCAGCAAGCCAGCTAAATCGAATCCTCCCGGACCTCCAGTCTGTGAGAATAAAGAAACCACATGCAAACGATGACATCCTCTCACTTCCTGATGGACATTACAAAGAACGTTACTAATACTTTACTCTCAGTGTTATCAGAATCCAGCCCTTAAACCACGACAAAGAGAAGAGGCTCTGTCCATACCCTTTCTGTAAAGCTGAGTCACAGCCAGCCTCAGGGGATTAGGCTCACTAAGGGAGACAAAGGGCAGATGTCTCCATTACATGATTTACTGGTCACCTCACCAGCTGAGCCACATTAGCCATGT